TAAATAACACACACACATACATACTCATAAATTAAAATATTATAAATTATAATTAATTAAGAATTTTTAAATATAAATTTTATCATATTTTAAAAAATTTAATCCTGTAGATTATTAATAATACTATTAGGTATATAAATATTAAATAATTGTATACTAATCCCAGAGCCCTCTAACCCAACCGGCCTCCCCCCTCTGAGTTTTCTGCTTTTCCTCTCAAAATAGCAAAAGACTTTCGGTCACGAGAGCTCAGGGTTTGCTGTTTGTGTTCGTTTTCTAAACTCTACTTCTATTTGTCCTCGGCGAGTCAGGGTTAGCTCGATTGCTCGTAGACTTGCTTGATTGCTTGATATTCTTGTTTGGTTGCTTGTTTGGCTGCAGAGATATTATCTTTGAGTATCTTTTCTCTAATATTTCATATTTATCTTCAGGTTCGCCTCATAGCTTAAACTTTCTTAAATTTCTTTTAGATTTATATAGAATTTTTGAGTGAAACCTAGTTTTTGAAGTTTTTGGGAGTGAACTCTCTTATACTGCATCTTGATCTAATTTTCTTAAGGATGAGATCTGATATAAGGGTTTTGTTGTGAAGTTTGATTCAGCTATTGTGCATTTGTGCTGTGATTTGGTTATCGCTTATAGACCTTATTTTCTTATGGATTGCATCTGATAAAACGGTTTTGTTGTGATATGTGATTCGACTATTATGCATTCTTAAACTCATATGGATGACATCTTATATATGTTTTAATACACTGTTGGTTTAACTGTTTAAGCATTATGTTCAAAATAGTTTAGTGTGTACTGCATCACTTTACCTACATTGTATGCTGCACCACTTTTCCTTTCATACACATGACTTAAATTACACATGATTGCATACCGTATGTATACTGCATCACTTTATTTACTAAATTATATATAAGTATAGGAATTGTGTGCCACATAACTAAAAATTTCTGTAAATTAGGACCAGATACCCCCTCTCGTGCCCGAAACCCTCTGCCCTACTTCCGGTTTCGCTCGAAACCACTGCCTCGGTGAAAAATTTACAGTCGAGATTAGAGCTACCTGGGAAGGCGACGATGGATCGCGGCGCTCAAGGAATTCCGAAACCCTCATCTCTCTCGTCTTTCGGCTTCGCTCCTACGCGAAACCATTGAGGAAGGTAACCGTAACCCTTGACTTTCACTCATTGTTCCCATACGCCTTCGAGTCCTTCTTTCTCTTTAAAACTCGTACACCAGTCTTCCAACCTGATTTACTGAATCTTGTAAAGGCAAAACGGTGGAAAAAAGAGATTTAAGAACTAGTAGTGCTGTTTGTAGAGGGGTTTTAGTAGGACTTATCATTGGATTTATTAAATCCAACAAAATGACTGAACGTAGGGTTTAAATGGATTTCCGAATTTTTAGATTTAGTAAATCCAATTCTGCGGTAGGCCTAAATCTAAATCCGAGGGATGGGTGGATTTAAGAATTCAGGAGTTAGGGATTTTCTAAATCCTACTAACGTTAAGCCTACTTATTTGGTAGAGAGGTTTTAATAGGATTTATCACTGGATTTACTAAATCTTGCCAAATTGCAAAATGCACGAATTCCATGGATTTACAAAATTTTGGATTCAGCAAATCTAATTCTTCCTCTGATTCTTTCTTCCTTTGATTTGGTTTAAATTTGGATATACTAAATTAAGGAATGAGTGGATTTACAAATTTAAGGATTTATTAAATCCTACTAAGGTTAATTTCTACTAGTAGCCAATTAGCCTTGTAGGATTTAGGATGTCTTTTTGCTGTTTGACAGTATTTAGGTGAAATTCTGCTCAAATCCTGCTACCAAACAACCCTTAAATCCTGAAGGCCTAGACGGAAGCGACGACATATTAGAATTCATTGAAGGGAGCAACGACATATTATATCCTACTAAGTTTAGTATCTACTGGTAGCCAAACAGTCTAGTAGGATTTAGGATGTCGTTTTTGATGTTTGATAGGATTTAGGTTAAATTATGCATAAATCCTGTTCAAATCCTGCCACCATACCACCCCTAAATCCTGAAGGCCTGAACGACAAGGAAGTGAGGAAATCACAATGGGAGCTAGCTAGAATTCATCGAAGGGGCCAAAGACGTGTTCAGAGGAATAGGAGTTCGTGAGACTTGCAGCTTAGATTGAATTTAATTTGTTTGATGCAGGTTTTAAAGCTGTTGTTTTCCTTTTGTTTGACGGTATTTAGGTTATTCAAATTCTGATATCGAAGTATCACTTATTTCTTTGATTTTATTTTTCTTAAAACTTACCCTCTATAGTGAAAATTTTTACATGTTTTTTTCATTCAATCATCTAACTTCACCGGTTTTCTCTTGATGTATCAGTAGATGGTTAAGTTGAAATTTCTTATTGCAAAACAAATATCGGGTTCTCTTAGAATCTCCCGGTCTATTAGTGACAGTATTTGATTCCTTCTCTTCAAGCAAGGCCACATTTACGACTCTGTCTGTTGGGTTATCATCAAGAACAAATTTTTTGATTTTTGGAATTATTCTATAGTAGAATAATTATAAGTATATTATTTGCAACTTATTCATTCCATGTATCAGGATAAAAGGGTGCAAGAAAATGCGAAAATTATAAAGAAACAAATCCACTCAAATCTGTGTTGTATTTTGAAGAATAAAGTCAAAATACACTAAGTCAACTACTACCATTGTATCTCTTGTTGAGTAGTGCTAGCTTGGAAGGAAGCCAACAATGAAAAGATAATAAAAATAAAACTTGATGCCCCTTTTCTCCTAAAATATCAATATATTTTGACGTGTCACTTTTTCTTGTGTTTTAATTTTAAAGTCTAATATTGAGGTAATTAGAATGCAGCATTGGAAGATTCGTTTGATCTTGATTAGTTTGAGGTTATGGAGATTGCATTGTATTACGTTTAACAAGTTGTATGTCGAAATAAATTATTTGACTATCTCTACACCTATCTCTCTCTGTACATTTGAAATAAAAGCAATTTTTTAAAGGTACAATTGGGCAAACTTGCCATAGATGTAATATAATTTATAGATAGCAAAAAACCAAATTATTACATTCTTAAACGCGGACATCTTTAATACAAGAACAATGAGTTAAACATCTATGATTCTGACATCTAGATAATGCAGTCATCTAAATGACTATCAAATTTTATTTCATGATTTGAAATGATAGCAAGTCCTCTTTAAATACTGATGAAAAAAATTCTATAAAGAAATTCAAAATACAATTCAAATTCGTTCTTGCTTGAAATTGGGAACTAATTTAAGAAATAGCTAACCAATAGTGGAAAAAGAAAATTGAAATTCAACATGCATCCTTGTCCTACTAATGTGGTCGACCAATCTTGGTAGATAAGATGTTTCTTGAAATTCTCCATTTCACATTTCATGTTTATTTCAGGAAATAAAAAATTTGAATCCTTCACTACATAGTTGTCCCCTATTTTGGCAACATGGAATTTTAGTTGATACCGTTGATGTGGAACACTCCTCTCAACTTTTAGAAACTTCTGGGAACCTCTTGGAATCATGGGAACTCTCTGTAAGCTTCTTGAATAATCTGAAGGTTATAGAAAATTCTTAAAATATGTTATGCTGACGTTCTTTTGGATTATCCGGTGTTTGGTTGTGTATTTGCAGCATAATTATGCATTATAGTCGAATGGTTTGATTTTTCTTCTGCTCTCTTCCTTCTCTCACCAGACTTGCTTTTATCCAAAATTTTCTGTAGCGAACATTTTATTTGTTAAAATAATAGTTACATATGTCGTGGACTTGTCAACTTTCCCTGCTTTTGTTCAGGTTTGGTAAATCCAAGGCTCTTGCATTGTATTTGATTTGTTTTCTTTCTTTATTTAACATTGTTCTTAGTTGTGCTAGAGACAAAAATAGCGAGTAACTCTGTATTAGCTGTGAAAACTTATTCGTTGGTTATTGCTGATTTAAATGCATATATTTGAAACAATATATGCAGTCATTTCGGTGCTTACATTTTTATCTTTTTCTTTTTTGCAGGTTTCATATAGTGATATGGCTGGTTGAGAACCTTTATGCTATTATGGATGTAAGTTTGATGTTTATTTTGATATTAAAAACCTTATACAGGGAAAGACACAAGCTTATGTTGTGATGTTTGTTGGAGACTGTTTATCTATCTTTGCTTGCCAGTAGTAATTTATTCTCTGTTCATGCAGGAAAAAGTTCATGTTGTTGATATTAATAGGACGGCTGATGTTTTGGCACCCGAGACTGGTGTTAAAGGAGGATTGAGCTTGCCAAATAAGGAACAGCCGCTCTTTAGAATCCAAGAAAAAATCTGTTCTGGGTACAGCTTTATTTTATTATTATTTTTGTTCTTCTTTGTTTATAGTCTGCCAGTAATAATGGGATTTATCACTAGTTTCTTATAAATAGCTCCTATATAAGACGCTTCTTTGATTTCATCTCATCTCTGTGAATCCCAAATTATTTCATGCTGGGCAAACTGTCAAATATTTAGACCTACGAGCTTTATTATTATTTTTATTTTCAATTTATGCTATTTTTGGCTGGCCATTGATGCCACAATTTAATTTCTGTATGATTAGTTTTGTACTCTGGGTCTTAGATGTCATTTTCTTGTCTACGATGGGCGTTTAACGTATGTCCTACTTTCCTTCTATAAATGTAGCAGCAGCTTATAACATTGGAGTTTCTTTTTAGTGAAAATTTCTTGAAGCCTTAAATCCGTACTCAAAATTATTAGCATTTTTTCGTATAAAATTGGTCTAATTTTTTCTTTCTCTCTTATATCTTGTTTTCCTTAGTACTCCCTTTTTTTCATTATCTTATTTATCACTGCATCAACCGACATTCATATCATCTTCTTGACCTTTAGATCTTAATGTTTTGTGTACTAATAATTTAGGCATTATCGTTTGGGCAGACTTGGATGTATTAGCTAGAGCTTAAAAGGCATCCAAATGTGTTGAAGAATTTAAAGTTCCTTCAGAAAGAACCATATCAGCAGTTGCATCATTGGATGAGGATGAGAAGTTTGGTTCCTATGGATCAGAGGATTTTGGAAGTAAATCTTCCTTCGGTGTACATTCCCATGCTTCCCGTCGCTACCATGGTATCATAGTTCAAGAGAAGTCACAGATATGTTAGTTATCTGTGTTTGTTTGATGGATAAGGCAAACAATTTTAGGGAAATTTACATATGCAGCACACAAGTCTTATTTACAAGTTTCACATCTTAACTTTTATATTTTCATAATAGCACTTTAGTCCTTTAAACATGTGCGTTAAAAGATAATTTCACTTTTGAAAGAAAAGTGATACTAGTGCTATGTGATACTAGTGCTATTTTTGATGTTATATTAAAGATTTAAGTGCTTTGTGTGTAAATATGAAAGTTTAGATATGAGAAATGTAAATACATAAGAATTTTGTGCCATGTATGTCAATGCCCCAAAATTTTATGCATTTCGCTTGTTTAGATAAAGTTCATCAATTTTATTTTTTATTTTTTATTTTTTAAGTAGTTAACTGCACTTCATACTGACTCCCTTCACACATGCTTAAGCCTTTTTTAATATGAAAACCTGTGTGAAAATGTGCCAAAACTGTCCAAAATTTTAAAATGGTGGGAAATGTTCTTTGAGATATCCGCCTTTTAACTCTTTTTGCGTTGTTTTCCGTCAGTTGACTTTGCTTGATTCATGAATGACTTTTTATCTTCTAGAACTTAACTCCCAATTTAATGGTGCTTTTCTCAGGGCCTTTTCTGATTTTTTTATTTGGTTCTTGTCTTGCCAATTACTTGTCTACTTTGTGTTTTCTCAATGTTATAAAATATCATGACAACTGCTTGATAAAGTCTTGTTTATATGAGTGCTAATTGAGTTATTTGAGAAATATTTGTTTCTACGATAAATACGTATATATTTTTTTTGCTAGAATTTGATGGAATAAATAACTTTATCAACGACTGTTTAGTTAGGCAGTATTTTATAACGCAATTGTCAATATCTCCTTAGGAGTTATTTGAGTTTTATATTCTTTAATTTTTTCTAGATTATTAACATCTTGATTTTGATGCCATTCTAAATTGAATTAATTCTTAATATTGCAGCATCTGAGTTGACTAATGAAGTTACAGGAGGCTATGCATCTCGCACGGAGGTCTCGATAGAATCTGCAAGTCGAGAGGTAGGCTTTCTGCTTGTTCTAATGTTAAATTTACAAAAATGTAGTAGACAAACTGTCTTTGTTGTTTTCCTTACCTATTATTGTTGAAAGAAGAGCTTCTTGTCCGATGCATGTTTGTCAATTTGATCATGATTGGACAGAAACTTAAATTTTTAGACATATTTTGGAAAAAAAAAAAAAATTATTTGCCATGTTGGAAATGGTTAAAGGTATTGAAAATACGTTGAATGACTGTCATGGATGCTCTGATGATAGATTTCCTCTAACACATCCTCAATTTATTTATGCCTTGGATTAATTGTTTATTTTTGTTATCATATGCAAATTTGTGTTACTGAAGTGACAATGGATGAACTGTTTATGGAAATTTTGAACTTCTTATATTGCAGACTAGAATCTATAATAAGAATGTATAACCAGGAGAGAGATTGAGTCCTGTGGATTACAAGAAATTTGTTTTTTAATGAAATTGCTCGTCAGGTCAGTCATGGAATTGTTTTTCTTTTTTAATTTTATCTTAGTCCTGACCTCTATAGCAGTAATAGTCTAAGTTATGTACAACTATTTATATGAAAACGAAAAGCATTTTTGTCAGAGTATGTATGCTGTTATGTTGCCATGATAATACATTTCGTGCTACCATGTCTTGTTTTTTTACCACTGTCGAGATTGTTGTGCTTATAGAAGGCTGAGGTTGTGCTCTTACTTTTATGCTAAGGAATCCAAAGGTTGGCTGTACTTTGGGATGGATGTATGCCTAACATTGGGTAAAATACTTTGGGATGGATATATGCCTTTCATGGATTATGATAGACATCTATATTCTGCGGACATGGCTATTTTTGTCATGTTATCCATTAACGAGTTAATGCTGGGCTAATTTTTTAATCTCAATTTTGAGCGAATCCTTTTTTAGGTTCAACATGAGTATATTAATCACTAGAATGAGGGCAATTGGCAATTCAAAATTTATTCTTATTGTGTCCTGAGTAACACTTTTAACTCAGTTGAAGTTCAAATCCTCAACATGAGGACATGTATGATGGACATGCCATTGTATTAGTTTGTGTGAGATTGGATTCTGTCAGCCATTTTGTAGCTTTCTTTAATGCATCCAATTCCCTAGTTTGGCAGGATTTTGAGATATTCTTCATGGCAGAATTCCTACAACCATTGTTGAATACCACAAGTAGATAACTTATCCGTACTGCTAATCATGCCGACATTTGGAGATTCTTCATCTGGTTTGGAAGAGATCAACTTTCTATAAATTTATGCGTATAAATATTTCACTATGAAAAACTAATGTTCTTTTATCCTCTCCTGATGGTGGGTGGCATTGTGTGATGACACTTCATGAATGCTCTAAATCATTGCAAGCTTTGAATTCCTCTTCAGGGACTGATTGTCTCTAGTTATGCTGTATTTAGGTGCTGAAATCGAGTAACCATCTTGATCGAGGAGCAATGCTCTCTTTGACTGAAAAGAGCCATGACAACAGTCCAACTTTGCCATCACTCATTGTTGCGTGTATTGCTATTGCCTTGGAAGAGGATAGGTGATTGCGTGCCATTCCCACCACTTAAAGCTTCTCTAAGGCTGCTGATTACTAGAACTTTACTGTTTAAATATCAGTGTTTGGTTTGTTTGGCATGCTTGCCATTCCTCGGATGCTTAGAGAAACTTCCAGGCTGATGGCTAGTCGAGCTTGCAGCGGTAAAGGATGGCCCAATTTGACATGGTGATTTGCCTATCCCGTATAGTTCCCGTCGTTCAATTTGTAACTGAATGGGTCATGCTTATCATTTAATTAGCCTTTTATAATTTTTGGGGCCACAATCTGTCAAGGCTCTTTTTTCAAAGTGAGGGGAAAATCCAACATTGCCTCCTTTACTTTTTTTTCTTTGGCAGCATGGTGTTGCATGCTACCTTGGATCAAGACTGTTATTGGGCTATCCTAACATGACTGAAGATCTGATGACTCACAATAAGTATATTAGTCAATGTGGCTCAATCGTGGTTGTTAGATTGACGTTTTTAACAATTGCCATGTTTATACCCTAAATGCACTATGCACAAGTAATTAATGGGATCTCGTGCAAGCATATTAATTAGTTTGAACATCAAAGCTGTTTTGTAGTGTGCTGGTTTAATCGTATGCACAAGTAATTAATGGGATCTCATGCAAGCATATTAATTATTTTGAACATCAAAGCTGTTTTGTATTGTGCTGGTTTAATCGTTTTAAGTAAGAAGCTGTGCGCTATTGGAATGATTTCCCTTCAAGCATGGCTGAAAATATTTTTAATCATGTAGCTAATTTTAGTGTCATGGGCTCTCCAGTGGAACCATAACCAAGATAGATTAACTCTTCTTTTTTGTTTGTGTACATGACACAACTATAAGCAATATGTTTATATTCTTATGACTATTTAACATATACTAGTGAATTAACTTTTATGGGAATTTTGAATTAATGGCCTTCACCAATGGGGCTGTTGTGTTTACTGCATAATGAATGTTGCATTCATTTTGTAGGAATTTCAGAAATTTGGCTGGCTGGGTAGCTGAATTTCTAATTTAGTTTAAAATTAGAATACTTTTTTATATTCATCTTCTAGTTCATTTATTTATTTGGAATTCATTGGATTTGGGTGAATTCAAAATGCACTGCTTTATGTCAAGTATTGCACACCTCCGATGCTTGCACCCTGCCGCAACTGATACTCGCAGCCCGTCGCAAATCACAATCTATACCCACAACCCGCTACGACCGATACTCGCTTCCCGCCGTAGCCAATGCTCGTAGTCTGCTGCCCGTGGCAGTCGTTGCCCACAACCCACCGCTGCTGATGCCTGCAGCTTTCTACCTTTAACAACCTCTAGCCAACTGCCCATTGTTCACCAGTCATCGCTATCGCCACCGCAGTCATCATCCACATATATGTAATCGCTCGCTGACACGTCGACCACAACCGACCGCCAACACTATTGCTTCTCGTCACCTGATGCCCGCCACCTACCTTTCTCCTCCCACCAACTATTAGCCGTCACCCACTAGCCATTTTTGTCCCCCACTAATTGCCGCTTGGCATAGTCAACTGCCATCAGCTCAAGGCTGATGTTGGCCGTTGCAACCTCCAGCTGCCTATGGACGGTTTCACTGCTCGCCTACGCCCAACTATGCATTTTATCTTGGTTTTATTTTTCTTCAAATCAAACATATATATTTTTTTAGCCTTATATGCCTATGCCCATGTCGGTAGTCAACTTAGGAAGGTGATATTTAATTTTATATATATATATATATATTTATATTTAAAAAGGTGAAGTCGATATTTGGTCCAATGGGCACCAAATTTCGATTCCCCAAATGGTTGAAAACCCTGGTGTGCTTGCTCATGATTTGAAGAGCCAGCTCCACACACACACACACACACACACAACACACACACACAACACACACACACAACACACACACACAACACACACACACAACACACACACACAACACACACACACAACACACACACACACGTTGAACCAAACAACTTCAAAGTATTTCAACTACAATACATTACTTTGCACTGCATTCTTTTTATACAATATTTTCTTTAGCAATCGAAATAGCCCCTACGCCCTGTCACTAGTCATTGATTTCTTAGATTGCACAACATTCCATTGATGTCATATGTTGGATCAAGACACATTTTCTTGCTAACCTAATAAGGGCTCATATCATAAATGATTGTTTAAACACTTATCTTTAAGTAAGTATTACTAACTTAACCAAGGACCTATTGAATATCACAAGGTCTAGAAGCTCCAACCACCACTCATTATACTGTTGACAACACTCAATTAATAGAGTTGGTTGAGAGAACACTTTCCCCTACCTTTGAACCTACTTCAAGTTTGTTGACTTGCTGCGTCCATGATGTTGAATTTTATTGGGCTTGATGGTTGGTTTTTTATTTCTATCAACCTGAAAACCTTTGCCCAAAGAAGACCTGAGGACCTTTGCCCAAAAGGGATTGGCCGCTCACATCTCCTATTCTCTCTTTGTGCCTAGAACACCCAAACAATATAGCCCATTAAAACTTTAATTACCAATTATTAAATTTGTTATCTCATGCATTGTAGCCAACTATTATCTACTCATTTATGTTTGCAATAAATGGATCAAACATGACCTCAAGAGGAATGGGCCGATCATTGATGTCTTAGATTTCACAACATTAGATTGATGTCATATGTTGGATCAAGCCACATTTTCTTGCTAACCTAATAAGGGCTCATATCATAAATGATTGTTTAAACACTTATCTTTAAATAAGTATTACTAACTTAACCAAGGACCTATTGAATAGCACAAGGTCTAGAAGCTCCAACCGCCACTCATTATACTATTGACAACACTCGATTAATAGAGTTGGTTGAGAGAACACTTTCCCCTACCTTTGAACCTACTTCAGGTTTGTTGGCTTGCTGCGTCCATGATGTTGAATTTCATTGGGCTTAGTGGTTGGTTTTTCATTTCTGTCAACCTAAGGACCTTTGCCCAAAGAAGACCCAGTCAACCTGAGGACCTTTGCCCAAAGGGGACTGGCAGCTCACATCTCCTATTCTCTCTTCGTGCATAGGACACCCACACCCAAACAATATAGCCCATTAAAACTTTAATTACCAATTATTAAATTTTTTATCTCATGCATTGTAGCCAACTATTATCTACTCATTTATGTTTGCAATAAATGGATCAAACATGACTTCAAGAGGAATGAGTCGATCATTAGTACCTCCATTTATGTGAGTAGTACATTTGTCATCGCCATTGATTCAAAATTAAGTAGCTGTGATACTAACTTAAATTTGAAACATGATATGGAGGCTTTTATACTCGCAAAGTTGTAAATTCCAATGTTATTTGCAAGTGTGAAAGAAAAAGGCCAAACCTGGGTCATGTTTTTCAGTGAATAAAGATTTACGATTTTTTATAC